GGGGGGGGGGGGGGGGGGGGCGTGCACACACACACACACACACAGAGGAGAGCACTTTCGCGCGTTTTTTTCAATTTTTATTTATTTTTGATTGATTGATTGATTGGGGGGGGGGGGGAGTCACCCCCCCGCGCCCACACACACACACACGTGCTTTTCTTTCAACATTTTTAAGTTTGATTGATTCATTGAGTGGGGGGATTCGGACACCCCCCCCCCCCCACACACACACACAAAGAAAAAAAGACAAATCGCGGGAGCTTTTTTTTCAACTTTTTAATTTTTTGATTGATTGATTGATTGGGTGGGGGGTGTCTGATTCCCCCACACATACACAAAAAAAAGAATGGCGGGAGCCCCAGTTTTTTAAGCATGGCATTTCCAGCCCTATAACTTTACAGGAATATCTGGCCTTTTCATCCGCTCTCCAGTTTATCGGGAATTCCGGGATTCCGGCCTGGAATATCTGGCCTTTTTCATCCCGTCTCCGTTTTATGGCCTTTTTCATCCGGTCTCCGTTTTATTACCTTTTTTTTTGTTTGTTTTTTAATCCGGTCCCATTTATGGCCTTTTTCATCCGGTCTCCATTTTATGGCCTCTTTCATCCGGTCAGACCGGTCTCCGTTTCATCCGGCCCGATCCTGCCCGGCTCTCCTCCTCCTCCATCTTCTTCCACTTCTCCTCTCCCCCCGTAATCGTTCCCCGCTTCTGTTCCCTCCCCTTGATCCTCCGTCCGGCTTATCCTCCCTCCCCCTTCTCTCTACCCTCCCCTCCCGCCCGTCCTCTCCTTCTCTCCGGCCTCCCCTCCCGCGCGTCCTTCCCCCCATGTGCGAATGGGGGGCGGCTTAGGGTTTTCGGTGGTCTGGGAGAAGCGGCGGCGACGTCTTTTTTTTCAATCAATCAATCAATCAATCAATCAATCAATGGCCCGCAAAGATCGCCACTTTGTCGATCTTAGCGGCCGATTGTTAGATTGATTGATTCATTGAAAGACCGACATTTCATCGATCTATTGCGGCCGAATGTTTTTTTTTGGTAGTCAACCAATCAACCAGTCAACCAACCAATCAATCAATTAATCAATCAATAATTAATCAATCAGTTCATCAATCGGCCGACAACGATGCACCGAATGTAGGCCCATTGATTGATTGATTGATTGATTGATTGATTGATTGATTGATTGGGAAAAAAACAAAAACCAAACAAAAAAATTTGAGAAAACACCGTTTCTTCTTCATCTTCTTCTTCCTCCCCCCCGCCATCACTCTCCCCACCCTTCCCCCGATCCTCCACATCCTGTCGGACGCAGCCTGCTCAGAACTCAGAAGACCAAAAAAAAAAAAAAAAAGGTCCGACCCTGCCTGGAAATCACCTTCTAATTCTACTTCTTCCTCTCCCCACGTAATCGTTCCCTGCTACTGTTCCCTCCACCTGATCCTCCCTCCCCCTTCTCTTCACACTCCCCTCCCGCGCGGCCCTCCCCTACCGCCTGTCCGCCCCCTTCTCTCCGCCCTCCCCTCCCGTGCGTCCCTACACCCCCCACGCGCGACTGAGGGTGGCCTGGGGTTGATTGTTTGACTGATTGATTGATTGAATAATCGGCATTTCTTCCCTATCTTTGCGCCCGACTTTTTTTTTTACTAATCAATCACTCACTCACTCAATCACTCACTCAATCACTCACTCAATCAATCACTCAATCAATCGCCCGACAAGGATAGACCAAATGGCGATCTTTGTTGGCCGGTTGATTGATTGATTGATTGATTGATTGATAAAAAATAAAAAAACGCAAAAGAAAGCTTAAGAAACACCGCCGCAGCTCCTCCCCAGGCCGCCCGTCATTCGACCCTCCTCAACTCCTCGGCCGTCCCTTCTTCCTGCTCCCCAAAAAAAATAGTCGGGGGGTATAACGACTACGAGTAGCGGTCGTGTTCGAGGTGGAAGAGAGAAGAAGAAGAAGAAGAAGAAGAAAAAGAAGAAGAAAAAGAAGAAGAAGAAGAAGAGGACGAGGGGGGAAAAAGATGAAGAAGAAGAGGACGAGGAGGAGAACAAGAAGAAGAGGAGGAGGAGGAAAAAAGATGACGAGGACGAGCACAAGGAGGAGGACGAGATGAGGAGGAGGAGGAGGAGGGGGAGGAGGAGGCGAAGAAGAAGAAGAAGAAGAAGAAGAAGAAGAAGAAGAAGAAGGGGAGCAGGAAGAAGGGACGGGCGAGGAGTTGAGGAGGGTCGAATGACGGGCGGCCTAGGGAGGAGCGGCGGCGGTGTTTTCTAAACTTGTTTTTGCGTTTTTTTTTTTTTTTATCAATCAATCAATA